TAATAAAAAACATGATTTAAAAATGAATTTCAGTTAAAAACAAATTAATTTGAAAATTCTCAAAAAACTATTTCAAAAATTATGAAAAATAATGGATTTACAGAAAAATTTTCGTGAACACTAAAAAAAAATTTTATTTTGGAGAAGTTACAAATTATTGCAGAAATTCAATTGTTTTCAAAAATAATAAAATTCTTCGCAGAAATTTTATTATGTTCAAAAATAGTAAAATTTTTTTTAGGAATTCAATTATTTTCAGAAATAATAAAACTCAATGCAGAATTTCAATTATTTTTAATACAATATTTTAATCGAATTTCTCGGAAAATATAATTATTCTTAAAAATTTTATTAAAATTCATTAAAAGAATTCAATTATTTAAAAATTTATTGATAAAATTCTTTATGAGAATTTGAATTTTAACAAACATTCAATTGTTCAATAAATTATTTATTTGAATTTTATTTGTATTTTAATAATTGAATTCTATAGTAGAATTGTCTAATAAAAATTTTTTTTATATTATATGAAGTTTGGATTTTGAAAAATGTAGATCTTTTTTGAAAATGAATTGATTTAAAGAAAAATTTTAGTGAAAAATTCATAAAAATAATAATTAAATTGAAATGATGAAAATAATTTTGAAGAAGTACAATATTGTTATAATATAAAATAATGATTTTATCAATTTCCAATCTTTAGTTATTATAAAACACAATATGCACTGAATATTTTTTCTGATATTCCTGAAATATTAGTTTCCAAAATTGACGCAATATTGTTGGCATTTTTTTTTCTTTTTCTCCTAATTGATCATTTATTTGTTACCTTACCGATCGGAAAAAAAATTCCTTACACAACTTATGTACTTCAAAGAGTTCGTGGTCTGACATTGTCCTACGTGACTTGCCTTACACTTTTGCCTCCTACCTTCACAGGACATTTTCCACTCAGAATTTTCATCGAGGGGCTCATATTTCCTTCGTTTTTATAACTTTTCTTCTTTTCTAAAAAATAAGAAAACAACATACCGAAAAAAATATTACATTTGAATTATAAATACACCATCAAAAATAGGTGGAATATAAAAATTTGTTAAACAATTTAATATTCAAGAAGAAAATTTAATTGTCTGTTTAACTGAAAGTTTTATTGGATCTTTTTTAATTGGTTAAAGCACTGATTTGTTGCTTTTTCTCATTTTCATTTCGTGAAAAATTAAAAAAGAAAAAAAGAAAAAAATCTCTTTTTTTCTTCTTTTTTTTCGGCTAAGAATCCTTTATACTTGTAATCGAATTCCAATTTCCACTCGTATTGCGCGCTATCAATTAGTTTACAATTCCGTTAGCCGGGTACAATTTGCTAACCATCAGAGATGCGCGATCGGTCACGTTTATTAATCGAATCAGACTTCAATTAGCTGACATAATTACACATCAGGGATATCTTGGACTGGCCACAGAATTTGTAGGATTGTCTGTGGCTTTTCAATGACTGGGTCCTTTGTTGTGTAATTAATGAGCGACTCAGTGATTATTCACGACTATTAAGCATGCTTTAAAGTGACGCTCTACTCCATCAACTTCAAGCCACTTGTTTTTTTTCATATTTTTTTTTTATTATTTCTTTCAAGCACTTTTTACATTCCTTTTTTTCCCACCCAAAGTAGATTCTACTTTAGTTTTTTTTTTTAAACTTCAATTATTCTGATTATTTGTCATTCAAGTGATACTTGTGTTGAAATCCAGTGATTCGTGACGGATAATACTTTAGCTTTTGATTATATATGAAAGTGATAAGTTTTTTTTCAAACAATTTGTGGTTTTTTTCAATAATTCTCTAATGGGGTTAATTTAATGCTAATTTTATTGATGAATTGGGTTTATTGTTTTTAGTTGTTTGTCGATATTTATGAATATTAATCATTTATCTAAATTAGTCAGTTTATTAAATAATTCCAAAATTCAATTATTTTTAAAATTTTTAATAAAATTCTTTTCAAAATTCAATTTTTTAAAAATTTTTAATAAAATTTTTGGCAAAATTTCAGTTATTTTCAAAAATTTTCCTCAAGTTCATATGAATTCTATTATTTACAAATTTTTCATAAATTTCTTCGCAATAATTTATTTATTTTCAATAAATAATAAAATTTTTTACAGAGATAGAATTATTTGCATAAAAATTAAAATTCTTCTTAGGGATTCAATTATTTTCACAAATAATAAAACTCATCGGAGAATTTCAATTATTTTTAAAACAATTTTAATCGAATTTCTCGAAAAATGTAATTGTTCTTAACAATTTTATTAAAAATCGTCAAAAGAAATCAATTATTTAAAAATGTTTTGATTAAATTCCCTATGAGAATTCAATTTTAAGAAATATTTGATTATTCAATAAATTATTTTTTTTTGCATTTAAATAATTGAATTCTCGTAGAATTTTTTAATAGAAATTGATTTGAAAATGAATTTCAGTAAAAATGTTAGATTTGAATATTTATTATTCAAGTTATTCAAATAATTAGATAATATTTGAATATTAAAAGAATTATTGCATGAATTTTAAAAAATAATTGAATTTTTAAAAGGTTTCAAATTAAATTCTTTGAAAATCTTAATTTTTCATACTTTATAACCAAGAATTTTGTAGAATTAAATATTTTGAAAAAGTTTAATTAAATTTTTTTATATTATTTGAAGATTTTATTTTCTTATATATATATAATTGCAGAATTAACTTATTTCCAAAAGTAATTAAATTCTTTTCAAAAATTCAATTATTTTAAAATTTTTAATAAAATTCTTGTCAAAATTCAATTTTTTAAAAAATTTTAATAATATTTATGGGAAAATTTCAATTATTTTCAAAAATTTTTCTCTATTTCATATGAATTCTATTATTTACAAATTTTTTTTTATACATTTCGTTCGCAATAATTTAATTGTTTTCAATAAATTATTTTTTTTGCATTTAAATAATTGTATTCTCGTAGAATTTTCTAATAATTTAAAAAATATTAAATATAATTTAAAGAAGAATTTTATTTAAAAATTCTAGAAAATAATAATTGAAGTAAAATGATGAAAATAATTTTGAAAAAATTTAAGTGAAAATATTTCTATTATATAAAATAATGATCTTGAATTTATTATAAAAAATTAAGAAATCGATCACTCCGAGTCGAAAACTCGGAGTAATCAATTTCTTCATGTTTTATAATAAATATTCTTATAAGTTGTTAATTTTCAAAAAGGTTTGAATTTGAATGTTTTCAAGAATTTTAATTCCTGTGGAAAAATAATAATGATTGAATATTTATTCAGATAAGAAGTTATTGATGTTTTCGAATTATTTTGCAATCGTTTTTAACAAACAGAAATATTGTAAATATTTTTTCCAAAATAAATTTAAAATTTCTTGAACAAAATTTGATTTCTAACATTTTTTTACCTGAAACATGTACTTTGTTTATAAATTGTAATTGAGAGACAGGAAATGTGCAAAATATTTTCTACTTTCTAATTTTAATTTTCCAACAATTTTTTAATTTTTTTTAGAAAATAGGAAAAAATAGCTGCATAATTTCGATTTGTCAAACAATTAAGTTTTTCATATTAAAAAAAAAAGATAATATTTTGCAGGATTTACATTTTGTTAATTATCTAAAACGTTTTTTACAAAATGCTAATTTTTTTAGTAACAAAGAAATAATGAATAATAATATTAATAAATTTTTTAGATTAATAAAAATATTTTTGAATAATTTAAAAAAAAATATTTTATTACTAAAGAAAAATAATAAAACATTTTAGTCTCATTCCTAAGATGTAATTAATAATTATAAAGGTAAGAAGAAAAATTTGTTAATTTCCCCGGATGGACAAAATTATAGTCTATGTATGATTTTGTAATAGCCACACAGTCTTAATGGATTTCTGTCAAGTAGATAAGGAAATGTTTACTTAAACGTCAAAGGGGAATGTTGTCAACGAGAAATCTATTGTCCCCCTGTTCCATCTACCCCCGTTCCCTCCCCCTTCGCTCCTCTCATCCCATTTCTCAATTGGTTTACATTTCACGATTAAGTCATCAGGAACGAAAATTTAGTTTTCCCCCATCGGACTCTATTGGAATAAGAAATTACTTTCGTTTCGAGTCTTGTGGAAATTTTTCAAAGGAGAATTAAAGAAAATGTCGTTATAGACAAAAAAAAGAGAGAGAGAGAGAGAAAGAGAAAAAAAAATGAATATCGATTCTTTTTTGATGCGAAAAACTTCAAAGGACTTTAATGGAAATTAAGCTTTGAAGGTTGTTTTCTTTTGAGATATATATACATAGAGCTTGTAAAATGAGAGAGAGAGAGGGGGGGAATTTTTTTTTACAAGATATATAGCTTGTTCAACAGAAAAATACAGAAAATGATGATTTGTAAACCGAGAATTGTTGCAGCTCTCGTAAATATTCTCTTCCTTGGCTCAGCCGTCGTTGAGGAGAGACTAATGCGAGGAATAAACAAACTCGTATATTTCATTTAGCTGTTTTCCTCTCGCACATTCTGTGGCCTCTTTTAAATCCCGTCCTTTCCTTTCTTGTTTATCACTCTATATAACCCTCGGGTCTCTATGTTGAAAGCACTGTTATTAAATCGTTCATATTTTTTTCTTCTCCTTCCTCTTCTTTTTATATATTATTGCGAACTTTAAATTGTATCTGCTTTTCATTTTCTTTCCACAGTAATTTTTTATCCTTCCAATTGAATCGAATTTTCTTGTTTATTTTACAACTAAAAAAAAGGTTGAGAAAATATTTTGTTTTGCAAACTTTATATTTATTTTTTAATTCAATTATTATAAATATATTAATTATTTCAAAAAATTTATTTGTTTATTTAATATTTTTTGTTTCTTATTTCACGTTATTATATTAAATATGAAAAATTCTTTTTTATCATGTCAATAGAATTTTAATCGTAAATTTTTATTTTCTGTTCCAGATTGTTCGCATAAGAAACAACAAAAAGGAAATGAGAAAAAAAGCACAAAATGAATAAAAATGAAGATAACTGAGAGCTATTGCGTGGAATAAATTTTATATATGAAAAAAATTACCTACATAATAAAGTCTTGTGGTTTAGAAATAGTTATTTTTTAAAAGAAAGAAGAAAAAGAAGTTTTTTAAAACTTTTTTACATGGTGCATACAAGAATAAAGATAAATTTAACGGATACTCAGTTATGTTGAGAATAGTGTGATATTGCCATGATGTAAAACGGTGTAAGATGCCATTACAGACACCAACATAAAGTTTTAAAATTCAAGTATTCGCAAGAGCGTGAGTGCTTTTTCGATCGTTAAATCCATCCCTATTACTCTATACTATACGTTTACAAACTACATTTACTTATATCAAGTGCAAACAGTAGACTCAATTATTTTTTTTCTTTTATGTTACAAAAAAATAAAAATAAAGAAAACAAGTAAAATCTAATGTCTATTTTTTCAACTTAAAAATATTTACGTCTTTCTAACAATCAAATTTATTTTTCGCTAGTTTTCGAATTAAATAAACAAGCAGCATAAGGAAAATCTTATTTTATCTCAACTCTGAAGTTGAATTAATTTTAAAACTAAAACTAGTCTTTGGAAATAAATTTTCTCGAAAGAAAATCATTTTCTTTCGGGAATTTTTCTTTTTAAATTCTACATTTGATATTAGATACGTTTGAAGTTAAATTACTTATAAAACTTGATCTCAATTTCAACTGAGATTTGTTTGAAAAGAAGGAGACAAAAAAAGATTTTCTAAAAAAAATATAACTTTCTCTAAGAAAGTTTTTTAAATATTTTTTGTAATTGCCGAAATTAAAATTTTCTTTCAAACTAAACACGAAATAAAAATGAAAATAAATAAACATAAAATTAGGAATTTAAATTAAATATTTTTCTTGACATAAAATTGTTTTCTTGAAAAAGCAAAATTATCGTAAAAATCACTAACCAAATTTAAAAAAAAAACACTAAACAATATTCAAAATAAAGAAGATAAAGATGAATTAAACAAAAAATAAATAAACGTAAATTAATGAAGAACTGAATAGATGTTATTAATAAAAAGTTAAATAAAAAATAAATAGAACGAAAATTTAATAAAAAATAAATGAAACGAAAAATAAATGGAAGTGTAATTAAAAAATTATTGAAACGAAAATTAATTGAAAAATAAATAGAACAAAAAATAAAAAAATTAATGAAACGAAAATTAATTAAAAAATAAAAAGAACAAAAAAATGAAAAATAAATTAAACGGAATTGAGAATAAAAACTTTAATAGAACAAAAAGTGAAAAATAAATTTAAAAAATTAAATAAAAAATAATTAGAACAAAAATTACAAAATAAATGAAACGCAAATTGAATAAAAAGTAAATGCAATAATAATTAAATAGAAAATAATTGTAAAATAAAATAGAATAAAAAGTTGATAAAAATAAGAAATAGAAAGAGAATAAAAATAAAAAATAGAATAAAAATAGGAAATAGAAATAGAATAAAAATAAGTAATAGAATAAAAATAAATAAACAGAATAAAAAATTAAAAATAGATAAACATAAAACAGACAAAAATATTCCAAAAAGATAATAAAAAAAATCTTTTTTCCAGTGTTAAATGAAAATAATACAGCAATAACAATCGAGAAATTCAAAGAACCAAAAAAAAGGGAAACACTAATGAAAAAAAAACCCCCAAAAAGGAAATAATTACAATCTTTTGATTGTACGAGATTTGACATTTTTTTTCTCTTTCGCAATGGTTTAATTACACACATTGTATGTGTGTGTGTGGCGAAAAAAAAGTGTGAGACTTTTAGAAAAAAAGTAAAAAAAAAAGGTGTCGTGGAAATAAACTGTCGTCGATTAAATCGTATGAGGCAACATCTATCGATAGCGCAAGAGCGTGATGAGGCACACAAGGGTTCGTTCACATCGACCCCCGGGGATGTAACCTTTGCCAAGAAGGAAAAAAATAGAGGAGAAAAAAAGAAGAAAAAGAAAAGAGAGAGAGAAAGAAGAGGAAACTCTCATCGAAGAATCGAGCCACAAACTGAAGATGATATTGAGGAACCAAGACTGATTGAAAGTGAGAAATGGCGGCGTGTGAGGCTGCTAGTGCAATGAGCGTGGTACGCTGGGGATTGTGGTTAGCTGTCGTTTTTTTTGCGGTCACACCTTTCGTTTATTCACAGCTAACATGGACTCCAATTTACGTTGGATACAGTGAGTAATGTTTATTTTTTTCCATCATTTCTATTTATATATTCCATTGCAATTTCCTTCATCTCATTATTTACTGACTCAACATTTTCCTCTTTTTTCACAATTTTTATTATTACTGTTATTGTTTTTATTTTTGAAATATTTTATTATTTTATAATAGGTAATGTTCTATAATAAAATACAATAACAATAATAATTATTATTCAGCAATTTCTTGGTAAGTGATCATAAAAATTGCAATTTTGGGGTAAGATTATGTAATTTCAATTTCGGCTTTCATTTTCGTAAATTTTTATTTTTACTCTTATTTTTGCTTCCTCTTTCATTTGGTGAATTTTCACTTTCTTTTACACTCTCATTTTCACTTTAATAGAATTTTATTAAAATTACAAAAAATTGAAAGTGAAAATAAAATTACATTAAAGATAAAATGAGAGTGAAAATGTAAGTAAAAATAAAATTCTATCAAAGTGACAATATAAGTAAGAATAAAATTCTGTAAAAGTGAAAATAGAAGTAAAAATAAAATTTTATCAAAGTGAAAATAAAAGTAAGAATAAAATAAAACTCTGTTAAAGTGAAAATGAAAGTGAAAATGAAAGTAAATTTTGTTAAAGTGAAAATGGGAGTGAATATGAAAGTAGAAATAAAATTCTATCAAAGTGAAAATGAAAATAAAAATAAAATTCTGTTAAAATGAAAATGGGAGTGAAAATAAAATTCTATCAAAGTGATAGTAAAAGTGGACATAAAAATATATCAAAATGCAAATCAAAGTAAAAAAATCATATCAAAGTGTAAATGAACGCGAAAATGAAAGTGAAAATAAAATTTTATCAAAGTGTATGTGAAAATAAAGTGTATCTAAGTGAAAATAAAAAAATGAATCTAAATGAACTCTAAATGAACTCAAAATGAAAATGAGAGTAAAAATTGAAAAAAAGAATAAAATTCTATCAAAATGAAAATAAAACTCTATCAAAGTGATAATGAAAGTAAAAAAAAATTCTATATAAACTAAAAGTGAAGGCAAAAATAAAAGTAAAATTGATTTTTATTAGATAAAAAAAGATTAAAATTGAATTTTATTAGGTACAATTTTTTTTAGTATAATTGAATTCTATTCGTTAAAAAGCTTCTTGAAAATTAAATTTTGATTAAATGTAAAAAAATGTAAAAAAATTGTATTTTAAAAAACACTGTACCCCAATTCTTAAACAATACAATAAAAAAAAGAAAACAATAGAGTTATAAAAGATACACGTATATATAAAGGTTTTTTTCACGAGAGTGAACACAAAAGATCTTCTCCTTACGCAGGAATGTGGAAAAGCATTTGAACAGCCTCAAAATCATATGTTTTTCCCAGAATAACAAGAATATAGTAGGTATATATAGGTATATATATATACACCTATAGTATATGCTGTTTCAAGCAGAAAATACGTATAGTGAGCAATTTTTTTTCCTCATCGAATAAAAAAAATGGGGAAAAAACAAAAAATAATCAAGTTCGTGCTTCAACGGACAAAAAGTCTATATAGAAAGGATATCAAGTAAAAATCAAAGATATTATATTTATTTTATCGATGTCTTACTAAACAGAGAAACTTATCTGCTACATTCGAAATTGTATCTCCTTATTTTATTTCTCGGTATGATGAAAAAATATCAATCGCCAATTATTAGTATCTACAAATTTTTTTTTATTCATAATATTGAAATAAAAGTATATTTATTATTACAATAGTTTTTGAAATGATTATTTTTAACTCTTTTTGAAGTTATTATTTTTAATAATTTTTAAAGCTATTATTTTTTAAAATAGTTTGAAAATAACTCTACCAGTGGAAAAAAAATCCAATTGAAATATTTTATACTTAGAATAGTATTTTTACTCAAAGAGAGTGAGTGAATTTAATGTTAAGTAGTAAAAGTGTATTTTAGTCAGACACAAGATGAAAGAAAAATACTTTTACTTGAATGACAGCTGAAAATTCGCTTACACTACTTAACAACTTAGTTCAATGTAATAATTTTATTGATTATATAATTTTCATAAACAAATAGAAAAATTATTAAAATTCGTAAAATTATTATTAGTATTTGTGAAATTATTATTTACTCTGAATTTAATGAAATAATAAATTAAATGAAAGTCAATTGGACAAACATTTTCAAAACAAAGTTGAACTATTGCAAACGTGAAGAAATATAAATTTTCTCCTTGTGGTGGCAATAAACAGAGAACTAAGGTGTCATTTAGATGGAAGGGTGACTGTTACTGTTGGTCACGTTTTATGAGAAGTTGGCTTGCAACTTTTTTACGATCGTCGTTTCATTTCGGTGGCCGAAATACGAAGAAGGCTACTTCCTACCCTATATATATATCTCTTCTTTTACTTCAAATACCAAGAAAAATTTTTTAAAAAATTCTTTTTTTTAACAAAAAAGAGAAGAAATAAATAAAACCGAAATTTCTGAAAAAATTCGTTTCAATAAATATTAATTAGTTTTATATTGAAAAAAGACAAAACATAATTATTTGCCCTTGAAATTTTTAACTATAATAATTTCATGTAAAATTAATAAAAAAAAAAGAAAATTTATAACGAGTTAAAAATTAAAACAGTAGAAAAAAAATAACACGATTATAAGCAACTGAGAATAAAAGCAACAACAATACTTTAAGAAACTAAATTTTGACAAAAACAAGAAAATGAAGTTTTCCCAAGTACATTAGAAGAGCGAGAAAAAAAGAAACTTTTGAGAAAAAAAAATTCACAGAGTTTTATTTATAAAAATCTTTCTCCCTTCCACCCCCCTCTTCTATTCAAGAAAGTTGATTGTAACACCGCACTGATTAAATAAAGCGAGTTTACAAGATTGTTCGCAAAGGTCGATGAGGCGTAGAGTAAAAGTTTTTCGTCGAGTTTCGTCTTGAGATTGCGCAAAACTTTTTCTCCCCCCTCTCTCTCTCTCACAAGGAATATGAGAGTTAAAATGAAGTTGAGTTGAAAGTTTAAAATTTTACGAAACTGACAGTTTTTTGTTGTCTGTTAATTAAGCAATTATAATTTAAAGTATTTAGTCTTTGAGAAATTTTTTTTTCTTATCGACTATCGATATGAACTTTTCAATATCATAATCGTCTTTGGTGGTTTTTTTAAAAGTATAAAAGAAAATGAAGCGTTACAAGTTGCTCTTGTTGATATTAAAATGCAAGAGCATCATCCTTTTTTTAAGAGAGAGAGAGAGAAAGAGGCGAGTTATTAAAAACGGCTCTTCATCATCTCTGCGTGGGGAACTCTTGTTCTCCACTGTTAATTAGAGTACAGTCTGCTACTGACGACACAGCCAACTGTAAAGGAGAGTTTCGTCGTTCTCAATGTCCCTTTCCCTTTGCGACCCACGTCTTTCCCTACTTAACTCTGCTCGACACCACTAACACGATGTTTGTGGCTTGAATTATTCCAGACAAGATATCATATCCATATATAGAAGCACTACTGCGCTTTACAAACATCACTTAAATATGATACATTTTCCCAACTTTCCAGAAAATGAAGTTAACCAAAAACGAATTGCCCTACTGAATAAATAGTTTCAAAACTATGTTTTAAAAGAAATTTTACTTACTGTCTGACTTACTGTCTGACTGACTCAATTCACTCATATATCGATTTCTTCTTTAATTATCAATTTTTTTCGTCTGACGAGAAAAAATTCGCTCTACTGAAAATTACTGAGACCTTTATTTTAGATCAGAAAGAAAACCTAATTGACTGTCTGATCATGCATTGACTTAAACTACTTAAAAGTCAATTTTATCCTAAATACATACAACAATTCGTTATGTCTGACTAAAATCGAATTTTCTCACTGAATGTAATTTTAAAATTAACATTCTTTTAGAAAAAAATTTTACTAACTGTCTGACTTTGTATTGACTTGGTCTACTTACAATTTAAGGTTTCCTTAAATACTTATATAGCAATTTGTGATATCTGCCCCAATAAAATTAATCTCTTTGGAAATTAGTAAATCTTTTATTTCATTTTAGAAAGATAACCTGACAGTCTGACCAATAATTGACTTAGTCTACTTAGTAGAATTTAATTTTTTCTTCCATATTTATAGCAAGTTGACATGTCTGACTTAAACGAAACTGATCTACTAATAGTTATAATAAAACTGTTTTTATTTTAAAAAGAAATTTCACTGTCTGACTAATCACTGACTTAGTCTACTAACAATCGAAGCTTTCTTAAATTCATACAGCAATTCCATATGTCTGACTAAAATCGAATTGCTCTACTGAAAGTTGTTATAAAACTCTATTTTCTGGAAAATTTTTTCTCAGATCAAATTTATCCAATTCGTTATATACCTGATTAATAATTAATTATTCTATCCAAGATTATATAAAAACTACTATTTTCTTTAATATTAATTTAGTGTCTATCTTATAACTAATGAACCGAATGTACTTTATATTTCATTTTTACATTAATAATTAGGCTATTTGTTATGTCTGACTGGACACGATTTTTTCTACTCGAAATGATACGAAAACTACTTTTATCTCATAAAAAGCACTTTATTGTCTGACTACTCGTAAACTAAATATACTTCTATTTTTCTTTTTAACCGAAATAATAATAGCAAATTGTTGTGGCTGACTAGAAACGATTTGTTCTACTGGAAATCATTAAAAAATCATATCATACATTTAAGAAAAAAAGAAAAATATTATTTACTTGTCTGACTAAGTATTGACTTAATCTACTTGCATGGAATTTATTTTATCTACGTGCCATCTTATTTCCATTTAAACAATTACATTATTTTCGCAATGTCTGACCAAAAATCTTTTTCTTTTCCTAAAAGTCATTTAAACACACTTTTTAGCTGAAGAAAAAATTGTCTGTCAACGTGTGGACATAATCTACTTAGATAACAATTTTCCCTTGAATACTTTCAACAATTTTCGATGTCTG